AACCTGGAGTCAGATATTGGGGTAAATACTGAAAGATCAGAGAAGTAAAGGAGCCACCTAGTAGAGAGACTTTTTACCTATACCGAATCCTCAGCCCCAAGTGGGCAAGATCCTGTCTCCACAAATTCTCAGACTGAATGCCTTGAGCTCCTGTCTCCTCCTGCCTTATATTCCTCTCTCCAACCAGCCATACCCCTTCCTGTCTCTGCCTCCCTAGTGTTGGGATTAAAGGTGTGTGACTCCCAAACAATGGGATTGAAGTTGTGAGCCATCATCACCCAGCTCTGTTTCTCATTTAGACTGGTCATTTCGTGTGACCCAGGGTGTCCTTGGACTCACAGAGATCCATCTGCTTCTGCGTGTTGGGATTAAAGGTGTGTGCCACCACTGTCGGGCCTGTATGGCTAACTAGTGGCTAGCTCCACACTCTGATCTTCAGACAAGCTTTATTCGTTAGACCACAAACAAAATATCACCACATCTATGGCTGCTTGGCAACAACTCAAGTTTGTCAATATACTCTTCGGGGAAGGGTGAGAATTTGTTGCTCTCACCCATTGCTTCTGGGTGGATAAACAGGCACAAGCTCTCATGATGAATCAGTGTCAACACGGGAATGCATATTCTCTGTGTTTCTGGATCAAATACAGGGGCTTGTGTGTGCTGGGCAAGTGTTCCACAATGAAGCTACACAGTGAGCCCTTGAGTTTTTAGACACTAGAGTGGATTGAGAAGATGGCTCAAAGGGTAGAGCATTTGCCATGCAAGCATTTAGACCTAGAATATAGGTTTCCATCCCGAGAACTTACATAAAAATGTCTGTATTGAGACTGACCATCTTATGATCCATTTACAGCATTTTTTCAATTGCTTAAATCATTCATAGCATTATTTGGTTCCTTGGGCACAGATGTAAATGTTATTTAAAGACTTTGTCTGGTAATTTCAACATCTAGGTCATTTTAAAGCTGTGATGGTTAATCTTGTTTTTTTTTGGGGGGGGGGACTAGATAGAGATGCTGAGGGGGTTAATAAAACACACTTCCAGTTACATCTGTGAGGGCATTTCCAGAGGGGACCAACAGGTGGGAAAGCAACTGAGAGGAAAAGATCCACTCTGAATGTGGGGGGCACCACTCAACAGGCTGGGGAGGCAGATGAAAAAAAGTGGGAGAAAGCTGGTCAGCTCATGGTCACTTCCTTCCTGAGTGCAAGTGTTACTGCCACTGTCACTGTGCACAGCTGACTCTCCTGACTGAATGTATTGCCACTGTCACTGTGCACAGCTGGCCCCACCTCCTTCACTCTTCTTATGCAGGCTCATACCAGTGAGTCTTAAGGAAGCTTCTAGACTTCAACTTTGAACTATGCCCATCATTGCCCACATCACCCCCGTTGTGAGGCTTCTGACTTTTTGGAGTGGGTAACTATTTAACTGAACACCTACTAGGCTCTAAGGTTCCCCAACACATCAAGTTTGAACTAACACCCAATCATACAAGCCAATCCAAAAAAAATCCCATATATTTCTTTTTCTCTTTCTTTTGAACCTGTCCCTCTCGAATCTGGATAATGCAGGTGGTTGTTTCTGTAATATATCACATGTTTCTAGTTCTTTATGTATCAAAATGTTTTAGACATTATCCTGGAAACTGTGAATGTTATTTTGTACATACTTCAAGTTCTATTTTATTCCTCAAGGGGAAAAATACCAAGCAAACAACTGAGGTGTTTAGACTTGCACTGTGAACTTTGTCTCACGTTTTGTGGGTAACAATTCCCATCTCAGTTCAGGAGTTTGTCATGTGCATGGTGTTTCAGGGACCAGTCCTTGAGTCCTATGTGGTTCACAGAAGTGGAGGATGCGCTCTTGTAGTTCCCCACCCTCTACAATTCACCAGGTATGGCTGTTAGACGATGCTTTGATGGTCTTCACAGACTGAACAATGGTGACTCGGATTCTATTATGGGTTTAGCCAGTCCTGCTCTGCCACCTATGACTGTGATCCACTCTCAAAGCAAACAATATCCCTTCCCCAAACGTGTCTTGAAGGGGACACTGAGTCATGCACATTTATGTTCTGACTCCCTCTACAACTGTTTGCTTACTTTTCTGAATCTCACAGTAGCTTTTACAATGCCTGGTGTTTACAGATAGCATCAGGTTGAGAAATGGTTTGTGAAGTTTATATCATCATATAAACGCCTTTTGTTTGACACATAAACATACATTATCCATGCCAAAACTACATTAATATAATGAAGAGTATATAGCAGTGTCAGTTTCTTGAACTGGGCGATATTTACACATAGGTGTTTTAGACTATGTCTATATACTACATATGGTATATACTTTGCATGTTACTTATCCTGTATCCTTTTTAAGATGCCTTGTGGCTATTCTCGGTTGTCAACCTGACTACACAGGGAATTAACTAAGTGACTTGGTACACATGTGAAGGTTTTTAATTAAATCATGTTAAATGGGAAAGCCCACTTCTAATCTGGATCTTTTGAGGTGGGAAGATTCACCTTTAACCAGGGCCACACCTTTCTGCTGGTGGTGTATATAAGAGACACGAAAGAAGGAAGCCTGCTCTCTCTGCCGGGCTGCTCGATGGCAAGTCCATTTTATCACTGGCATCGGAACCCACTTCTTCGGGATTCCAGTGTATACTTTAAGACCAACTGAGGCATCTAGACTGACTGTGGACTGAGCACCTACTGCATTTTTGGACCTTCCCTTGGTAGACAGTCATTGTTGGACTAGCTGGACCATAACATGCAAGTCAGTCTAATAATTTGTGTGTGTGTGTGTGTGTGCACGTGTGTGTGGTTTGTAAACCTACCAAGTAATTCTCAAACACCTCTTTATCATATTATATATACATATACATTCACTCTATCAGTTCTGTTCCTATACAGAACCCTAATAAGATGATTTACAATATGAAAAATGAAGTATATCCCTTGATAACAAAACCCTTGGCTCCTCACTTAACATTTTTTCTAACATTTTGCCATGAAATAATATATTTAAACCAATAAGAATGAAAATTGAATAAAAAGATAATCTCTTGAATTATAAATAAATACACATTTAAGTCTTACATTGGTATGGATAACTCAGTAAAGAATATTTAAAATGAGTTCAAGTAAACAATGCTCTGCAGTATTTAAAATAGATGAGTACAACTACAGCCTGAGATTTTGGTTCTGAGTCTCATTCTGTTTCTTAGTGGCTGTGTGGCCTTGAGTAAGTGGCTTTAGCTCTCTGGGTTTATTTCCTTGTTATTAAATGCAGAAAGCAGCTCAGGATACTGGGTGGGTTAGTTAGTCAGGGATATAGTATAACTATCCCTGTAGCACCTATAAACTACTCAGATACTCTCTTTTACTAGTAGGAACACTAGTGCTTCCTCATGAACTCCAAAGGATTTAATCTATGACCTGCTTACCCAACTACTAATCTTCATCAAAATAAATAGAGGTGCCCCCTTACTTCCAGGAATCAGATCTGCAAGGAAATTCAGCATTAAAAACACACGGTTGTCGTTGACTGCGCCATCTAGTGGTAAACATTGTGTTCAAGGCCAGTTATCCAGAAAAATAAACTGTCACAGAGACTTGAAATGTCAGTAGGCAGGGGCCAACTGGCTGAAGCCACAAAGGCACCGAGGAGCCTCTCGCTTCCCATCAGCTACGGGATTGTTTTTGTATCTTTAATCATGTTAACATATGCACTAGTATGTTAGTGGCATTTACCATACCGAATCCCAATATTTTTTATGACACTGATTTTATGAATATAATAAAGGAATAAGAATAAATTATGTGGGAGGCATTTAGGATACAATAAAACAGGAGGCTTTTTGTTTGCTTGCTTTTTTCGAGACAGGGTTTCTCTGTAGCTTTCGAGCCTGTCCTGGACTAGCTCTTGTAGACCAGGCTGGGCTCGAACTCACAGAGATCCGCCTGCTGGGTGCTGGGATTAAAGGTGTGTGCCGCCAACGCCACACAAAACCGGAGTATTATGCCAACAAAGCGGCATATGTAAATCCTGTGCTAAACAAGTACAACAGCCACATAAGAAAACGGGGGAAGGCCTCTTTGTATAGAGTTCAGAAAGGACAGAGATAGTATGAAGTCAGACTAGTGACGTTGGCAGGGGTTTACACACGCTCAAGAGTTTGACTACCATCCTAACAGTGAGAAAAGATGGACGGGCTTAAGCAGGAAGGTACCAATTAGACTTGGCACTCTAATTCACATTTTCAAAAGTTCACTTGTGGAAACCATTAAGGCAGGAAATAAAACTGCCCAGATGAGCCGAAGTGATTTGGACCACACTGTGAAAGTTGAGGCAAGGGAAGAGGAAGTCGGAGAAAAAAACCAAGAGGAGCGGAGGGGCAGGGAAGTGGACAAACATTTAAGAGGCAAAATGAATGGAGCACTAAGTGGTATGCCAATGCCATTTCTCACTGAGCACAACTGGCTTGGGTGCTTTCCTGGAGGGGCTGACTAATAGGACGGAGGACTAGAATTATCTTGAAGAAGGAACTCTGGCCACAAAGTGTGAATGTTCCAGGCAGGGCAATCACGAGTACCACTCAGAGCCAAGAGGTGCTCCAAAGGTCTTCTTTAGACTTGTATCCCAGCGACACCCCAGCCGCACTGACACCTTTGTCGAGCTTAGGTTCCCTACCACAGCCAATTTCATTACTTAATCGAGTTTTCCAAGTCCAGTTCAAAGGGCATTTTAAAGAAGACCTTCCTCCCAGCAGTCCGTTCGGGTCTCTCCCTCTAAATTACACATTTCCGGACGGCACAGACTGAGAGCTCGTCTTCGTGTCCCGGGAGTCCAGCGAAACGCTCTGCAAACACCATACAACCCACAAACTTAGCCACCTTCCGGAGCGTAGCACCCACTCCACCTCACCCCACCCAGGCCGGCCCGCCGGAAGTGACGTAGGGAAAGGTGTACTTCCGGTCTGCAAGGCTGCTTCCTCATCCCGGGCCCGGCTTCTCTGGCTTGCTGTCTCTGCTGCTCTGGAGGATTCACGCGCGGTAAGGAGCTACGCTGGCGCCACCGGTTGTGGTGTGCGGGCCTCGTGGCCGCCTCTGGCCGGCTAGAGCCGGACTCGTGCGGGAGACGCGAGGACAGAGATTGGGGGACAGTCCGATCGCCCAGCTCGGCTCTTGGGAGCAGGCCCAGGGTGCCTGCGGGACGCGCTGCTGGGGGCGGATGGGGAGAAGCGCAGCCGTCCCGTGTCACCCTCCTGACTCCCGAATTCCCATCCGGCCTGTCAGGAGGAGGATCCGCCCTCTTGGTGACAGTCACCGGGGACCAGTGCTCTGTAAAGTGGCGTGCAGCGTCACTCACAGGCCCCGAAGACATGCTGCAGACTGCCGGTGCCAAGGCGTTGCACACAGGCTGCCCTGAAAGTGGCAACTCCCGTTCTTTGATTGTGTCTGATGTTGTCATTCACTGAAGAGGAAAAAGAAACGTTCTCAGAATTGCTAGGTAACATGCAAAGTAAGCTATGCAGTTTTATGTTGGAGCCAAATAATTAGGCTCAAAGCAAACGACTTTAAAAAACATGTGCACGTCTATACTCGAAATGAAACCTATTTATGACAATAAATATGTTCTTTATTTATTAAGGGTATACAAACAAAACTTCTTGGTATAAAGTTTGTCTTAAAATTTGAATCATTGAAATATGATAATTGAAAATTACTCAAAACCATTGGACACTCGGGAGGCAGAGGTAGGCGGATCTCTGTGAGTTCGAGACCAGCCTGGTCTACAGAGCTAGTTCCAGGACAGGCTCCAAAGCCACAGAGAAACCCTGTCTCGAAAAACAAACAAACAAAAAACCATTGGACTGCAAATGGCAATCACCCTCATTAGTAAGAGAGAATTATCGTGTGACTGCAAACACTTTATATACTGCCTTGCTTTAGAAATCTACCGGGAAGAGCTATAAAGTCAAACTTGAAGGACAAGCCTTCTGTATGCTTACTAATGTGCTTTGCAATTGGTCGAAATGAAATGGCAAACTAAGCAAGCAGATTGGGAGAAAGTAGCCTGGGGTTTAAAGATAGGAAAAGAAATGGCGAGGAAAACACCAGGATTTGAGAAGAATTTACATGTGATTTCTAATTTAAAAAATCACGTTTTGGTCTGGACGGTGGTGGCGCATGCCTTTAGTCCCAGCACTCGGGAGGCAGAGACAGGCAGATCTCTTGGAGTTCGAGGCCAACCTGGTCAACAAGAGCTAGTTCTGGGACAGGCACCAAAGCTACAGAGAAACCTTGTCTCAAAAAAAAAAAAATCATGTTTTGGCAAATTACTTTCTAGTTTTAAGCAAAGATATATGCCTTTTTTTTCGACTGGAATGGAACTTCTCTGATCAGTGCCAAAATTATTTTAGAAAAATAACTTTGCGGTGTACCATGTGTCAATGCAGATACCCAGATGAGGAGTTTTCATGATTTAAAGTTTGAAATATGAGTATTTTTTATGATAATACTGTCTCTACATCTTCATCTTTTAATTAATCGAATACTACTTGTTCTTACCTTGCAGATTGGTAAAGTGCCTCTGCCGAAACCATGACCAGATGGGCTAGAGTGAACACCTCAAATCATAGGAGACCCTTGTCTGCGACATCATGGGAGGACATGAGGGGAGGGTCTGCAGGGAGTGCAGACGGAAACCTTCCAAAGCATAAACAACGCCAAATCAGTAGGCTTTCCCTTAAAAATGATTCCCCTCAAGCAAAACATAAAAAGAACAAGAAGAAAAAAGAGTATTTAAATGAAGATGTGAATGGATTCATGGAATACCTAAAACAGAACTCTCAGATGCTTCACAATGGACAGTTGATAGCAGCAGACAGCCGGGAAGTACGGGAAGAGATTGCAGTAGCCTTAAAGAAAGACAATCGACGGGAAGAAAGACGGTTAAAAAGACAAGCAGCAAAGAAAAATGCAATGGTGAGATCATTATGTTGTTTACTCCTTTGTGTGGCTAGAAACTGTCGTTTATCTACTCACAGGATACATATTTAAACAGAGCCCAGGGCAGCTTTTTAAGGCTTGTTCCTTTCATCATGTATACACACATACACACACACAATTATACTGGTTAGTTGTCGTAACAACACTATACAGATGGTTGTATTCCCATATTACAGGCAGAAAACACGGCAGTCTGTCCAGGTTAAGTGACTTGCTGAAAGCCTCTTGGTTAGTGCTGGAGGTGAGATTCGAACTGAATTCACAATCTATGTTTGTCCTATTCCTATCTTAGGGTAACACCTTTTCAAATAACTGTGAAAAAAGCTACTTGATACCATAAGTTAAAGATGATTCCCTTTTCTTGGAAGGAATGGCTGTTCTTCTGCTTTCACCCATAAAATATTCATTCACGAGGAGGAGTTTGGGTCCCTGTTATGCTTTCTACATGAAAGTTAAGGAATCTTCAAGAAACGTGTTTGACAATGCTAGGTTTCTGAAGATGAGAGAGTGGACTCCTTGGGTTTGGAAGAGGCCAGGCCCCTTGACTTCATAGCCAGTGCTATGGCTTCCAAGCTCATAGCAATCCTGTGACTGGGAATGGACCATGGTTGTGTGCCACCATGCCTAGCCAAGCCATGTCTGTGTGTGTACATTTGTGCTCACGCACATGTTTGTGTATGGTTGTTGTGTGGGTGGCTGGAGTTGCAGGTGTAGGCCACTGTGTCTAGCCAAAAGCCATTTGTGTGTGGTTACGTGTGTAAGTGAGCAAGTGCATATGTGCACATGTGTGTGGAAGCCAGAAGGCAGCATCAGGTGTCTGTCTCAGGCACCATCCACCTTGATTTTCAGACAAGTTCTTTTTTGCTATCTCTCACTGTCCTGGAATTTTCTAAACTCTACAGGCAAGCCAATAGGCCACTTGCTTCTCCTCTCTAGTATTGGGATTTTGAGCATGTTTTGCCACACTTGATTTTTTGTTTGTTTGTTTGTTTTTCTGGACAGAGCCCTAGCTTTCCTGAAACTAGCTCTTGTAGACTGGACTGGCCTCTAATTCACAGAAATCCGCCTGCCTCTGCCTCCCAAGTGCTGGGATTAAAGGCGTGCGCCACCACTGCCCGGCTCACACTTGATGTTTTCTTCCTTGGTGTTTGAGGCTTGAATCAGGTTGTCATGCATGTGGGCAAGCGCTTTATTGAATGAGCCTTCTCTCCAGCCCTAAAAGACAAGTTTGAAAGTACGTTTTATTTACCTTCTACCTTATGTTTTTTGTTTTGTTTTGTTTTCTTTTCTTTATTGAGAAAGAGTGTCACTGTGTAGCCTTGCCTGGCCTAGATGTGGCTGTGTAGGCCTACTGGCAGTGAAGTCACACTTGTCTGCCTACCTCTGCCACCCAAGTGCTGGAGTTAAAAAGTGTAAAGAGTTTGAGGCTGGCCAGGACAGCCAGGACTGGTACAAAGAGAAACCCTATCTGGAGGAGGCCGGGGCAGAGATAATAAACATCCTACCTAAGTGTAAATTCCTAATTTAATTTGATGATGATGATTGAAAATACATTCTTCTCTCAAATATCCTGACCACAGTTTTTCTCCCTCCACTCTTCCCAGCTCCCCTTCACCTCCTCTCTCCCCCAGATCCACTCCCCCTCCATCTCCCTTCAGAAAAGAGCAGACCTTCAAGAGACAACAGCTAAACAAAACAAAATAAGATATGGTAAGACAAGGCAAAAACCCTCATTGAAGCTAGACAAGACAACCCAATAGGAAAAGAGTCTCAAGAGCGTGTGGAAGAGTCAGACACAACCACTCCCACCATTAGGAGCCCCACAAACACCAAGCTAGTATCCGTAACACATGCACACACCTATGCAGGTCCCATGTTTGCTGTTTCAGTCTCTGTGAGCCCATCTGAGCCCTGCGTAGTTGATTCAGTGGGCCATGTTCTCCTGATGTTCTCCATCCCTCTGACTCCTCAGTCTTTCCTCCCCCTCTTCCACAAGGTTCCCCACTCTCTGATATGAGGGACCTGATGGAGACTTCCAATTTAGACCCTCTCTCTGCACATGTCTGACTGTGGGACAACTAAATTGTTATTTTATGTGTATGGGTATATTGCCCACAGGCATGTTTGTGAACTAGGAAGCCAGAGGAGGAATCGGTTCCCCTCGAACTGAAGTTACAGACACTTGTCAACCCTCCCCCAAATCCTGTGGGTGCCAGAAATTGAACCTGGGACCTCTGCGGGATCAGCAGTGCTTTTAATGTCTCTCCAGATTCAATTCCATGTTTTTATTGTGCATGGTTGGTTGTAATTGTTTTCGAAAGGAGACATTGGTTATCGTACTACTAATTAAGAGTATTTTGTGTACACAGTACCCATGTAGACAAAAACTTCAATATTATTTAGTATGATATGTAAACCTTTAAAGTCTTTTCAATTTAAGAAATAGTTGCTTTTATTTAAGTGGTTTATTTTTTAAATAAAACAATTAAAATTAGGGATGGTGGTTTTTGTAGCTCATTAAGTCCTGACTTATTTTTGTTTGTGGTTTAAATGCCACTCTGCTGCTTTTGGCCATTTTCCACTTAAATGCGAGGTAGATTGTTAGAGGCATTGGGGTATTTTTGTTGTTGTTGTTGTTATTGTGCTTTTTTGTTTGTTTGTTTGTTTTGAGATGGGGGCTCTTTATATAGCCCTGGCTGAACTGGAACTAGCTATGTAGACCAGGCTAGACTCAGACTTAGGGTAATTTCTTGTCCATGCCTCCCATGTACAGGAGCCGCAGACTTAAGCCACCACACCTGGCCTCTGAATGACTTGAAATGTTTACATCTTTCATAGTCTGCAGTTCTCAGAAGAGACCTATTTTTGGAAGTCATGTAGTCTGGGTGAAGTTTTGAATAACCGGGTGCTCTTAGTCAATGACATCTCCGTGTAACAGCAGTGACTAAGCATGACTGCCATGTATTCAGAGTGAGATGGATCTCCTCTTCCCACGGTTTATCTGTTTGCTCTTTTCATCTTAATACTTCCACCATTTGTACCTGTTTTGGATGCTAGTTCTGACCCCCCACATACTACTGTTTGGAGCCAGTGTCAACCACTGTTTCCTGGTCTTCAAATTTCCTTTCCACTGACTAGAGACAGCAAGTCAGAGGCGATCCATTGCTCTTCCTCTTGTGAACTGTTTGCTGTAACAGGAGTGCATTGGTCTTCTGGCCTCACGAAACAGGCTGGGACTTCACTTAACATTTCTCGTCCATCCGGTCCCTCACTCCTGCTGAACAAAACTTGGGCCATCTCTTCATGATACTCAGAAACCTGTTTTTTCAGACAGGGTTTCTCTGTAGCTGTGGAGCCTGCCTGGAACTAGCTCTTGTAGACCAGGCTGGCCTTGAACTCACAGAGATTCACCTGCCTCTGCCTCCCGAGTGCTGGTATTAAAAGCATACACCACCATCTCCCGGCAACCCCATCATATTTTTATGGACCTTCTGTCTCTAAAGAAGCAGAATCAGGCAGTACTGTGTATGCAGATATTCATGGCCCCTTTTTTTGAGGCAGTTGACCAGCATAAACCTGTTTGTATTGGCCGTGTCAGAGCCCCCATTTTTAGGAGACTTTCTGTAACAGGATTTTGCAGGTGACCTTTTCTTCCGGACAGGGTTTTTCTTTCATGGGGTTTGTCCAGCTGTTCTGTTATGTGAGCAGGCATCTATTCTGATGATTTCCTGACCTTCCTGTTCTTATTGGTGACATTAGACCTGCCCTGGCGAGGCAGAGCAATGGAATGGTTCTCAGTGCTATCCTTAGCATCATGGGTCTCGAATGCCATCATCTCTTAAATACCCACACCTTTAAGATACTTTGGTGCCTCCCAGCACTGTGAACCTTGGCTCCTGGCCAGCTCCACCCAGCCATTCGAATACAGCCACCTGCTTGACCTACCCAGATAGCATGTGATCTGAGTCATAGTGGAGACACTGAACCCACTGTCATTTAGCTCTGTGAAATTTAAAAATACAAGCATTAATCTGAGTGATTTTTTTTTTTATAGCTATTGTGTGACTTCTACAGAGGCCCTCCCCAAACATACTCTTTGTTTTCTGGTACAGGCATCCTTAGTAAAATGTGTATGATCCATATTTGTTCAATTCATAGGAGTAATTGCCTCTTACGAAACCGTTTATAACCCTGTGGGTGAGACTAATGGATTAATGGGATTAGTTATGAGAAACACTGCTGTAAGGCTTGTGACCATTTGGGGATATGGAAAGTACTTTCTTCTTCAGATAGAAGACTGATGTGTTGTTGTTGTTGTTTTAACTTTAAAATGCAAAATAAAGATAGCTTTGATGGGAGAATTAATAAAGGCAGGAGAGTAGTTTCACCACGTGGAAACTGATTTTTTGTTTTCACAGATATGTTTCCATTGTAGAAGGCCTGGCCATGGAGTCGCCGATTGCCCAGCTGCACTGGAAAGTCAGGACATGGGCACTGGCATCTGTTACCGCTGTGGGTCCACAGAGCACGAGATGACGAAGTGCAGAGCTAGCGTGGACCCCGCTCTCGGTAGGTACGGGAAGGTGCCCATTCAATAGCCACTGTGGTAAAAGATATGTTCACAGTATTTTTTTTTTTTTTTGGTTTTTTCGAGACAGGGTTTCTCTGTGGTTTTGGAGCCTGTCCTGGAACTAGCTCTTGTAGACCAGGCTGGTCTCGAACTCACAGAGATCCGCCTGCCTCTGCCTCCCGAGTGCTGGGATTAAAGTAATGTAAATTATACAGCTTGTCATTATACACAGTATATTAATGGGAACATTGATTCTTACAGGTGAATTTCCTTTTGCGAAATGTTTTGTCTGTGGAGAAATGGGACACCTATCCAGGTCCTGCCCCGATAATCCCAAGGGCATCTATGCTGACGGTGAGTGCCATCACCTCCCTGTGTCTGACACGTATACATCACTCAGAATTATGATCTAACTGGATCTTCCCTCTAACTGAATTCTTGAGCAGGTGCAACCTTGAGTGCCTTTACCAAGCACTATTCTGTCCGGGGTTATTTCAGTACTATGGTTTAACTTATTAATAAACCAGAGAAAAGCTAACGAGTATTTCTCAAACCACTTGCTTCAGCATTATTTGTGAAAATATATTAAATATCTGTTGGTGTTTAAGCAAAATAAAACTGGAGAGGTTTTATCTCAGTAAAAGATTCAAAAAGCTGCATTGCATCGTGTCTCTCTAGCATGCTGTTCTCCTCGAGTGTGGTGCGCACTGTTCTGGTTTGTGGTGATGTTTGTTTCTGAAGTTTCTACTTATACAGACCTTAGCTTCGTGGAACCTTTCTGTCTTTGACTCAGTTTGTGTCTTAAGAGCCTGTAACTAGCCCTGCTGTGTCCGAAGGCCTGCAGGAGGAATTCGTTGTCTGTTAACACAGTGGCTGGTACCAGCGCATCCTTGGTGTCTCTGTGTCCTGTCTTGAGGTCACCCTCCGCGAGGTCCAGAGGAAACATGTAGCTGGTGGGGTCAGCCTCACTGCCCCTCCTTAGGCGCAGGTCTTCGGCCAGGTCACCTGTACAGTAGAATTAAGGAAGCTAGATTTCCTCGGTTCTGAGATGCATTCTTTTTCATTTTTATATCTGAAATCGAACTGTATCATACCATTGGTGGGCGAAGATATGTAAAGTAGTGAATGACATACCTTACAGTCAGTGATGTGTTGCAGGATATTTGTTCATACTGACACTCCCAAGACTCCTGATAAAGTTAATCTTGAATCAGAGGGTGGAGTCAGCGACTAGTGGACTGAAATTACCCATAGAGGTATGGAGGACCCAGGGAGCTGGATAGAGAGGTACATAGAAGTAGTAAGGAGGGACTTGGATATTTGGCTGGGTCTTTTTGATCTGGGAAGTGTGAAAAGGCAGGATCGACTGATCATTCCCCTGCTGCTCTTTGGGTCTATCACGTTTTTACCCCAATATCTGTCTCCTGAGTTTTTATTAATAATAGAACATTTTAAGTAAACTCATCAGTGGTATCTTAGATTTGCTTGGGTATGGCCATTATGTTTTAAAGTAAGCGCATTAGTCAAAGGCCTCTTCTGTTTTCACTGTGGCATAAAGAAGGGTCTCCGACTTGGAAAGTTGACTTGGGAGCAAAGATGGCTTTGCGTGGTGAGTCAGATTGAGTCGTTGTTGCTGGTTGTTGTTTTAAAGCAAGAGGAGCTTATCCCATACGTGGGAGACAGGCTTGTATCCTCTGGGGACATCTTCTGATTTGGCACTTCACACAGGCATGGTTCTGAGAAGGCCTGGCTCTTATGTGGAAGCCCCGTGTGGGAACCACATGTTGTAGCTCACCATCCTGGAATGATGCTTAGTTAGACAGATGGGGGTGTTTTCTCAGGCTAGCAGGACTGGCAGATGGAAGGCGTGGAAACAGATTTCCCTTAAGTAACCACTACCCCATCTGACCTATCTAGTAGAGCAGCAGTGCTTACCTTTTGGGAGGCCACTGCTTGCTGAGAAACTGTTAGAAACTGGGCATCCTCCTCGGGCGGGGGATGTGACTGTGTATAAGTTTTGTTTCCTGGCAAAGGCTCTACAGCTCGACTGTCCTTGAGTAACCTCTAGACTTCTGTGTCACACAGTCTCGGACAGGTGACTTCTATCATGTTCCTCTTCTCCACTTCTCTCTCGAAGATCAGGTACAAAGCAGCTGCTGAAATTCGGGAGCAGCAAAGGAGTTGATAACAAGTGTGATGGTCCCCGCCCAGCTTCCTGACTCCAGCTTCCTTTACAGTCATCAGCGATGTGAAGACCTGAAATTGCTCATCGATGTTACACACACTGTGTTGGGATGATATAGACTCAATGACTCTGTTCTTCTACTAGGTGGCGGCTGTAAACTCTGTGGCTCTGTGGAGCACTTTAAGAAAGATTGCCCTGAAAATCAGAACTCAGGTGAGTTCCCGGGCCTCCATCTATAAGGGTATTCCTCTCTGTGCTCACCGAGCTCCATTATCAATAACTCAGAGAGGCACCGTTGACTGCAGACAGCTGCTTTTGCACTGGGACAGTGGCCTCGCCAGGCCTGAGTCCCTGAACTTCGGGTCTGTCCTGCAAGCTGGTGAGCAGGACTGTATATTGAAAAGCATCTTACAAGCTTTTGCATTTGCTCAGAAATGGAGTTAGTTGTATTAGAACTTACTTTTTTACTTAGCAAAAAAGTATCGATTCCTAAGATAAAAGTCAAATACAGAATTAGTTTTCAGCATTCATAAGCCTGATTGTCCTCATGTGCTTTGCTTTGTGTGCTCTAAATGATGGTAAAGCTGTTAAACTTATTAAAAATGTGTTAACAACGCAGCATCTGCCTAGTGCTTATTTTCTTGTGAAATATTAGCCTTGATCATTAAAAACTTGTAAATGTTCACTATTACATGCTGCAGACTTCTAAGAAAGCAGAGGACCATCATTCCCTTAGTGTGCCAGGATTAGAATAGAGATGATCTGTGTTAAAGAAAGCAAAACGGGCTTGGGCAGGTGGCTTAGTGGCATGTGGACCCGAGTTCAGTCCCCAGAACTAAGTAAAAGGCTGCTGTGGTGGTTGTGTGCTTGTAATCTCAGCACTGGGGAGGCACAGAGAGTGAGTCCTGGGACTTATTCATAGTCATAATTCATCCCTGAGTCTCCCAAGTCTGACTTTCTTGCCCTAATGTTTAAATGCAAACCCAGGAGTTGTTGTTTATAATCTTGTCTAGAAGGAGATCATCTTCGTATGGTGTAGGCTGTGAGATTGAAATGATGAAGTGGGATTTGAATTCTCTCTACTGGGAGGGTTGCCACTTCCCAAATGATAAAGCTGACAAGCAGATGGTGCATAATTTCACAGGTGGGATCTCGTGCATTTAAAACCAATGCCTCCTAAGTCTTGCTGTTTACGGGCTCTTGGAATTCATTGACTCTTCAGTGATGAACTCTGGGAGAAATGAAGGAGCTTTCTCATCAGTTTGTGCATTGCAAAGTAGCTGCTGCATTTCCCTAATTGGGACGAGAAATTGCCCGCGGTACTTGGAAATCAAGGGTTCTAATCAATTACAGAATTGCTCACTTTCCTGCAGCGATGGGGGCTTCTCTTCTTGTGATTATGCATGTCAAAACTAGTTCCTTTGCTCAACTGATACCACTCTAATGGAAGCATTTGATTACTGTTGTGTTTATATCTTTCTTATCCCTCTGTAGATCGGATGGTCACAGTTGGTCGATGGGCAGCGGGAATGAGTGCCGACTATGAAGAAGTCCTGGATGCACCCAAACCACAGAAACCAAAGACTAAAACACCCAGAGTTGTTCATTTTTGATAAGAATCGGTACTGCTGGCGACTACCACCTCACTGTTACTTTCCAAAGTAGGCCTTTACAGGTTAGAGCTGGCTTCCTGTGGAGGCGAACCTGTATTATAGACACCACCCTGACCTAGGTGAAGTCAAGTTGACTGTATTCTGTCCTTCAAGGAGTATAAGATGATTAATTGTACTTACTCTCTAGACCTGTGTGTGTGTGTGTGTGTGTGTGAGAGAGAGAGAGAGAGAGAGAGAGAGAGAGAGAGAGAGAGAGAGAAAGAAAGAAACAGACTGTCTGTAGCCCAGGTTGGCTTCAAACTAGTAATTGTGCCTCAGCCCTCAAGTGCTGAGATCACAGACATGTGCCTAGGAGCATAATTCAGCAGAGCTTAGAGCTAACTAAGCGCCTGTACACTTGGCTGACAGCTGTCTCTGCATCAAAGTTGACCAGCCCTAAACAAAACTCACAGCTTCAATTTTGTGAATAAGTCAAATTTTGTTATTCTTTTTTCAGAGTATCAGTTTATCATAATAGAAATTTATTTATATATTGTCACAGAGTCTGGAATTTTTAGTACCAAATAAATTTTATCATCTGTTTGTCTATGTTGAACTGGACTTTGTTCGCTGCTCTCGCTCTAGAGTCCTTTGCAAACAAGGTTGTTTGTAAGTCTTAGTAGAGATAAGCAGGGGTCTGTGTGGTTTTGGTTTTGTTTTCATACAAAGAATTAGAAATTAAAATGAAAGGATGCCCCAGCTTCACAGCTCTGTTTTGCCTTCAGTTTTTCAAGAGGGGAATTCTAGCCAAAAAGTCAGTGTGCTATATTCAGACAGAGTGACGGCACAGCTCGTGGATCAGACAGTGACAGCGACAGCTCGTGGATCAGACAGTGACGGTGACAGCTCGTGGATCAGACAGTGACGGCACAGCTCGTGGATCAGACAGTGACGGCACAGCTCGTGGATCAGACAGTGACAGCGACAGCTCGTGGATCAGACAGTGAGGGCACAGCTCGTGCATCAGACAGTGAGGGCACAGCTCGTGGATCAGACAGTGACAGCGACAGCTCGTGGATCAGACAGTGAGGGCACAGCTCGTGGATCAGACAGTGACGGCACAGCTCGTGGATCAGACAGTGACAGCGACAGCTCGTGGATCAGACAGTGAGGGCACAGCTCGTGCATCAGACAGTGCTGTGCTGTAGATGAATCAGGGTGTGATGGGAGCATCACCACAGTAGAGTAGGAACACTAATCAGAGACCCATTAGCTTCTTTGTCTGATTTGATGAATACATGCATATTTAATACCCGTATCCCACAAGCCCTGCCACGGCCACTGTGCAGTACAATGGAACGACTTCTGGTTTGTGAGTTTAATTTGAAATTTTACCTGATTGAAGCCATTTGTAGCTAAAGGAAGCAGCTGTGATTAGTTACTGATGCCGCCAAAGCTAAATATTTACAAATAAGAAAAGAAACATTTTCTCTGTTTTCATGTCTGCACAGCTTAGCAGTTCAAGTCTTAATAGGAGCTGTCCTTTTATTTTCGGTGAGGGAAGGACTGAGATGACAAAACAGGGCTCGGCTCCCAGAGCTTCAGGAGAGGAGTGTGCTTGGTATGAAGGGCAAGCCATGCTGAACCCTGCTGGAGTGGGTGGTAGGAGGGGGTGATAGTGAGCTGAGCACTGCTGGAGGGAGGAGGGGCAGTGAATGCTGCAGGGGAGGGTGGGAGGAGGGTGAACGCTGCTAAAGAGGTGGAGTATGTAGGGGGGGGGGGATAGTGAACACTGCTGGAGGGGGGAGGGGCAGGGAATGCTGCTGGAGGAGGGTGGGGGCTGATAGTGAAAGCTGCTGAGTGCAGAGCGGAGGAAAGCCTGTTCTTTCTGAGCAGTCCTCACTGCTGCAGTGCTGGTGGCCAGTTTGCCTTCCTTAGCTCTCTGCCTTACGTCAGTGTTTTTCTCTGTCAGGGAGTGAAGGCAGTACAAAGAAACTACAGGTGCTGAGAGCAACGTTTCACAAGTGCACAGGAGCTGCAAGTTCTGTCCCAGAGGCAGGAACGACAGGAGACCAGGGTGATTGGACCGTTCTTGAGCGGGGAATGCTAGACAAGGTTGGCACTGATTTTGTCTGCCCAGTATGTGAGCTGTGCTTGTTCTCAGGCACTGGGGTTATGGCTGTGGATAAACATGGCTGCGTGCATTACAGTCAGGGACTGAAGAGTGAAGCAGAATTAGAGAAACTGCCATGCCTGACTTTTACAGGGCAGTGGGGATGCAAACGCAGGTCCTCATGCTTGCACAGTATGTTTTATGTGCATAATATATTTGTGTGTGTGTATGTATATGTGTTTTTGTTGTGTTTTGTTTGGTTTTTTGACAAGGGGTTTCTCTATATAACAACTCTAGCTGTCTTGGAACTCGCTCTGTAAACCAGGCTGGCCTCGAATTCACAGAGATCTGCCTCTGGGTCCCAAGTGATGGGATTAAAGGCGTGGGCCACCACTGCCCAGCTATTTGTGTATATATTATGACACCTAGTTTACTGTTTTTGTGGGATTTGTAAGTTTGTGAACTTCTTATGCCTTGGGCTCTTTTCCTTCTTTTTTTTTTTTTGTCCTATTTCAATGTGATAATTTTTTTATCTTATTACGTGAGGGGAAAAATTCAATAAATGGAAAAATGAAGAAAGAAAATTTTAAAGTATTATAGATGAGACATGTTAACTACAAAAAAAAGAAAAATTCACTACCTCATAGTAACAGTGAAAGCCAGGAGACAGCGTACAACATCTATAATATGGGGAGGAAAATCTTTTTCATTTTAGAACTCTGTGCCTATTGGAATTATATGTAAGCAACAAGAACAAATAAAATAGAACACATCACCAAAAGCTCTTCATTTAAAATCCTCAGTGTTTCCCTTTGAGTAGAAGAGAGATTGTATGAGGAATTGAGCGCAAATCCATGAAAAACGAGGGTTAAGAGCCCACCTTGGGTGCTGGCATGAGGAGACCCAGTTTCTAAAGCTACCTTCTGCTTTACCTGCCCACCATAGCACATGTGCGCCTCTCTCTCTCTCTCTCTCTCTCTCTCTCTCTCTCTCTCTCTCTCTCTCACACACACACACAACATAACACATGGAACCAAATTCATAAGAGAAGCCCTACCGGCATGAGAGCGCATACCGTAGAATGGTTGCTGCTAAGAGTAGAGCTAAGGAATAGTAGCATGGACATCCGCTTTACCCTGAGGGACGTGTAGCAGCTGCTCTAGGTTCTGGTGGTGACCTGGAGCTGCCTCTGGGAGACGCTTTATTTGGGCTCACCACCCAAGAGGAGACTCCATCGTGGCAGACAAGGTGTGATGTTCAGAGCGTGAGGCAGGATATGCATTTAGGAAGCAGAAAGTCTAAAAAGTGGGGGCTGGGCTAGAAACCTTAAGGTTCACCCCCTGTGATCCCCTTCCTCCAGCTGTGCCCCACCCCAGAGCCCTCCCTAGCTAGGAACTAAGTGTTCAGACGACATGAGCCTAGAGGTACCATTCACATTAGGACCACAACAGTGTGTAAGCAGGAGTGTTCCAGTGAGCGGATTGTTTTTGTGAAGACGAAGGGTGCAGAAGACTTGAAACTTCCAGGCTTTAGCAGTAGAATGAGGAAGCTGGGGGAGGTTATTCTATCAGACAATCCACTGAAAATTAGAATGTACACAAATACCAGGGATCCAGCAACGAACAAAATAGAAATCCTGGCTTTAGTAAACTTTATATTTTGTTTTTTGTTTTTTTTTTGAAATATTTATTTATTTATTATGCATACAATATTGTCTTGTGTATATGCCTGAAGGCCAGAAGAGTGCACCAGACCTCATTACAGATGGTTGTGAGCCACCATGTGGTTGCTGGGAATTGAACTCAGGACCTTTGGAAGAGCAGGCAATGCTCTTAACCTCTGAGCCATCTCTCCAGCCCTAAACTTTATATTTTGATTGGGGATGATGGAAATGTAAAACTGGCTAAAAGTGTGTTAAGTTAGACAATGGTAACCACTAAACAGGAAGCCTAGATGCGTCGTGGGGGTCCTGAAGGGTGAGGAAGGAACATTTTACATGGTCTTGATACAAAGGTCAGAGAGAAGGAGGCAGCAAGCCCGGGGTATCCGAAGGGGTAAGAGTAGACCTTGTGTGTACCGTGGTAGGAATGAGCCTGATTGCTGGTTAGCAGCAAAGAGGTCAGCGTGGCTGGGAAAGGAGTGAGGCGTGCACTAGCCAGGGAAGGCCGGGTGTGAGGAGGAGTCCTATCTTCTAAGCTGTATCCCCCAGTGTCTACTGAGGAACCACAGACTCTCAGAAGCATGCAGCAGTGTGCATCTCTTTAAAGCAACTGCCTGTGAGTCAGAGGGCTCGCTGGGCATGTTCTGCAAGTCTCACAGAGGAGGGTCTGCGTCCCTTAGCCATTTCATTGGGAATCTGCAGATTTAAACTGGCCTCATTTAAAGCTAACGTAGTATACACGTCTCTCTTCCTCTTCCCAAAGGGCAGCCAACCCTGATCTGTGTGTCTCAAGATAGTGGCCAAGATGCCAAAGGGCAAGGTCATTTGCAAGGACACCCTTCCAGCCTTGGCTGCATCATGTCTGCTGGCATTCTGTTGAGGAATTACATGTGTCAAGGAGAGAGTGACCATTTCCGAAAAATAAAGGAGCACACGGGCCCTTCGGAGGTGCGGGCCTCTGCTGGGATGTGCAGGATGGTTCATCCTAAGGGGGTGTGGCCTGATCAGATGGGGTCTGAGAACAGAGTGGAGGGGACAGAAAAGAGGCAGGAGACGAGTGCTGTCCACATGAGAGAAGATGGTGGTTTACATTGCTGTGCTGAAGGTGATTTAAAGTAGTCAGGTCCTGATAACTATTTTTAACAGAATTGATCAGATTTGCTGGGTGTGGGAAAGGGAAAGATTTGGTGTGGACAGGAAGCGGATTGAGTGTTACGGAATATTTAGCTATGCAGAGATGTGTTACATTTGTTTATGCTGCAGTTGTTTAATTGTGTAAAGATGTGTTACTGTTTTACTTTGCCTGCCTAAGGCACCTGATTGGTCTAATAAAAAGCTGAATGGCCAATGGTAGAGGAGAGATAGGCAGGGCTGGCAAGGAAAGAGAATAGATAGGAGGAGGAATCTAGGCGCAAGGGAAGAGTATAACACAAATTCTAATCGATTCTATCCAGAATCAGATATTGGGGTAAATGCTGAAAGATCAGAGAAGTAAAGGAGCCAGCCACTTGAGAGACTTTTTACTTCTACTGAATCCTCAGACCAAAGTGGGCAAGATCCTGTCTCCATGAATCCTCAGACTGAATGCCTGAGCTCCTGTCTCCACCTTCCTGGTGCTGGGATTAAAGACGTGTGACTCCCAAGCCCGGGGATTAAAGGTGTGAGCCGCCACTGCCTGGCTCTGTTTCTCTTTTAGACTGGGTCAGTGTATTCAGGGTGGCCTTGAACTCACAGAGATGCCTCTGCCTCCCAAGGGCTGAGATTAAAGGTGTGTGTGTGTGTGTCACCACTTCCTGGTCTCTCTGGCTAACTCTGACTTTCAGGCAAGCT